AAAAATTTCATTTTTTTTCTGAAATGGTGGGGTCTATTTACTTGTGACCACACTGTGTGTATATATAGAAACAATGACATATTGAAACAAATTTTATTAGAAGATTCTCACTGGAAATAAAATACAAATATCTAAATATTAGTGTTAATTAGAAAATCGTGTGGCTTCGAAGCTCACAGGCAGTCCTGTTGTAATTTTTATAGACATATGGTCTTAAAACATGTTTTTCATCTTTATCGTGCCTATTCAGATTCAATCTTTGAAACGCAACTTAAAGAAAACGAACACGTATCTTTTACATATAATTTGTGCCTAAAGATCCTGAACTTAGAACTTATTCACACACAAAACAAGTTGGAAAGTATAGTCTGTCAGTCAGCAAGATAACATAAACAAATAATAAAAATTGATTCATAAAAAAGAAAATTTGTTCTGCATTCTTTCTCATGTCATCCCCATGTTTAGTAACTTTTTGAAATCAAGCGAAACGGGCCAGGTGGAACATTAAGTCTAAGGTTCGAGTTTAACGATATGCTTTTGAACACGATCCGTGTTATAAAAGTGGTAGTCATCTTACTATTCGACTATGAATATAACTATTCTGAACCTTGTGGGGTCTCTGAACTGGTCATTTGTCCTATGTGTCGCATAAGATGCTGTTCAAGTTAATCAATACCAGCAACAAGTGAACGTTTTAAATACACAGGGGCCTCTTAGGGGGCACAGCGGTATGTCTGCGAACCTACAACGCTAAAAACCGGGTTTCGATACCCGTAGTAGGCAGGTCACAAATAGCCCATTGTGTAGCTTTGTGCTTAATTACAAACAAATAAAAATACACAGGGCTAGTATAAAGTTAGTTGGCCTATTCTAAGTCACATAATTCCAAATGTAGACACTGGTAGGCTGTTGTTTACCAAAAAGGTGATGGGAAAATCGTTGACGGTGGAAAAAAATATGCCACTAGTTAATTACTTACGTACAGGACCATGCGCAGTACAGAAGTGGCAGAGACAAACGTTTTTCGTCCATTCTTTTCCTTTCTTTTTAGATGGCTCCGAATAGAAGGCATCTAGTGTTAGAATTGCATTTATAAATCATTATTACACAACCGATCAAATCGACGATGCAGAAATTGCACTGACTGAAACTAGTGCCCCTGAAGGGTCGTGCAGCCTTGCATCATATCTAGTATTGATTAGAACGGAGTGGTCATCTTCCAAGACCAGTTGAAGTTGTCACGCGGAAATTTAGATAAACAGCACTCGATATTACAGAAACAAGTGCACGTGGAGAATGCAGCACCAAACAGATCGCAAACAATGTAGAATCCCACAAACAAGTCTGGAAGGTTGTGTGCAAAATGATGATACTGTACCTAAACAGGATAAACAGAATTCAGGAATTGGAATCAGAAGATGGACATCAACGATTAACGTTTGCACTCGAGTATTTATCTAGAACAACCGGTGATGGCACATGGCTTGACAGAGTTTTATAGATTGGTGAGACCGATTTTCACTCCAAAGCCAGGTCAACACTCGAAGCTCCGTTATCTGGGGAGAAACAAACCATGCATGATAAAAAAGTTAGAGTATGGATCGTTACAATCACTTTTGTCATTGGGCCGTTGCTCTTTGAGGGCGCCACCGGTATCCAGTTTCATACGTGATAGTTAATAAACTACTCTAATATCCAACTATAGAAAATCATGTTATTCCTGAACCTCGGAAAAGAATTGTTTTGGATGAAACAATATTCATGCAAGAGGGCGCTCCACTTCACATTGCACGATCTGTTGAGACATTGCTGTGAAATGTAATTGGATATTGAATACTAAATAGACATGTTCTATCCATATGGACAGTACTCCTGTCGAGTTTTGATTGTGGCTTTAATTGAATTCCCTGGTTGACCGTGATAGCACCCGCTGCCACCTGCACATGTTGGATATCGGACAGCTCCGTGTACCAAGTTCTCTCAAGAATGGAAACAGTTGAGGAAAGCAATGGTGGTTATGTTGAAAATCACACTTAATCATCCTGTTAGGCATGTTTCAATAAACAGCATCCCGTGGCCAACCTTATTTATTTACTACCTATTAGTTAGAAGTTTATGATTCGAACACAAAAAAGTATAAGAGGTATCGTTGGAAAACTGTAGGGCATTGAAACTAAATACACCTTAGGACATGTAGACTAGAAACTATTAGATGATACAAAAAAAAAAAATGATTTTGTAACATAACGGCTTAACGGTCCTGCTGAAGTTTTTTGTTTATTCAACTACACGGTTGTACTCTGAGAGTACAAACGTCTATATAAAATTTCTGGATAATGTTGGATTTGTTTTGGATGAAATGAAACACTTACTTTGCAATGACGTGACCGTGAATATAATCGTTGGTGTTCATGAAAAACGCTGGCATAATTATACTGACTTCATACGGGGGCTGATCTGTAAAACAAATAAAATTTTTTTATAAAATTTAAAAATTGTGGTACAACATCAAATAAACCCGTTATTATAAATGTTAAAACCAATGACATATCTCTGTACAAAATCACTTTATCAGCTGTAACAAATCATTTTTAATGGCTGGAGACGGCTTAAATGGATAATGAAGAAAAACTTTAATATAAGTTTAACATGACAGTAAATGTACAACGTTTCGACAAGGTTTTGTC